ATGTCTTAAAATTATTCTTTGACTTATTATCCTTAGTTTAAATTTTCATTTGGTCTGGAATTACTGACGTCATTAAACGGGAGAGTTTGAAAAGTAAATACACAAAAGGCTTTAACATTATCCCTTCTTTTACAAAGCAAAGAATTGATGCTGAATGTACATTGATATAAAGGGTGTTCCATTAACACGGATTATATGTAAGGCTGTTTCATTAAGAAAGCTAAGCAGTAAATAAATCAGTGTTATTGGTGAAAATTTATTTATTTCTCTATTGGATCATGTTATTTAAGTCAATGTGTAAAAAATAATATCGCCCAAATATTCGCAAAATCTGAAAGAAAAATAAAAAGAAAAAAATAAACGCTTAAACTTAATTCACATTTAAAGTTATTGGAACAGCCTTTACGTGTCTACAGAAGTCATTAAGTATCTGTTTAGAAAGGCTAACGTAAGATAATAGAAACGACGTTTTTATTTAAACAAAGTATACATCAACAAAAACAAAATGTTTTATGTTTTGCTAACATCTACCAGCCGCAATGATGGAGAAAGCATTCCCTCGCACCATCGCCAGTGAGACACGCTGCAAGAGCCACTCCGTTTCGCGAGGCTGGTCCTTTAATCGAGACACCATCCCGCCAACCCTCCAAAGAAACGCCATCGAACGAGGGCCAATAACCTCGGAAGTCTCCAATGCCACTGGAGTAAAAATAAATCTGTCAGTAAGAGAAGAATATTTAACTATTTTTTTTTCAACTCTGCGTCCCGAGCGACAGACCCCGGCTCAACCGAAGGCCTGATCAAATTACCGGATTAAAATGTATCGGAACAGGTCGCATCCGAAATCAACGACTTCCCCATTTTAAAAGGGAAAATGGTAATTCCATACGGCCGCTTTCTATCACCACAGTCGAGGCTTAACGTTTCGATTTGGGATGGGAACCCAACTGCATCCAGACCTCTTCTAATGACGTAAGATTATGTATAATTTTATAAAAATTTATAGAAATCGTCGCGTCAGAAAATATATGCTGACGGCAGCAGTTATGAAGTAAAACGTGTGTTCAATATATTTAAAATTACATTTAAAATGACGCATCAAAATGTGTTTGTGACTTTCTATTATTAGTAACATATTTCGAGTTACAAATCATGAACCCAAACACAAAAAGAGTGGTATTGGTTGAAAGTTGTGCACAGGCAAGACAAAAATTTTCCGGCTTGTGATAGAGCTAAAATGAAAAAAAAAATCACTTATCAACATTTATGAAAAGCATCAATCTCTTAGAGACTGTTTCTTATTTTTTGCAACGCATGCCATTCACGCTTGTACGCTCCGGCATTTGTCTTCAAGGACACATGGCGCAGTGGATAAAGGCGTTAGTTAGATCCAGGTAAAGGACCCAAAGAGTGTGAGTTCAATACCCGGTTAAGGCAGTGGAGAACTTGGAGAGGGGAATTAACAGGAGATAACTGATAACTGACATCCATTTACATGGCACGGGGAACTAGAACAGTCTACTCCAGTGAGCGAAATAAAGGGTTCAGTTCAACATTCCAACCACCTGAAGAAGACCGGAGCGTATAACGGCCGAAACGTTGTAATAAATATGGCGACAAAGATGAGGACAATAGTCCGAATAATGTAAATAGTGTGCATATTACCTCATCTAAAATTAATTGTTGTCTTTGTAGGGAGATCTCGCTTATATTAGGGTGTGTCAGAAGTATTTTAATGTTTTACAAACCTTTACTCCGAGGCTTATATCATGCACACATCTCATGACTGTCTATGAAGACACCTTTACTGTACTTGCAATGTCGCTATTAATTTAAATTTTCTTGATATTCTTTGATACAATACTTCAGCGAGTCTTTTTCTTCGTACGTTATAGACCACAACAGATTGAGAGAACATTTTTTCTGATTATGTAAGTGGTACTCGGGTATAGTGATAGTGATGTATTTTCTAGGAATTTATTAATAATTTAATCATTCTTATTACTGCTATTATTATTAATTATTAGAATAATGATTGTATTTAAATCCGATATTGCAATTTATGTTTCCCTTTCTTAATAATTTGAAAATTTATCAAATTCAGATGCTAATACATTATTAATATTTCCAAAGATTTCTTGTGTATATTCATTTCTTTTCAGATCCCAAACATTGAAATAAGGTCAGAAATAATATCATGACATTTTCCACTGATAAGTTTTGAGAAAAAACACATTTGCATAGATAAAGTTCGTCGTAAGGTGTGGGTTGAACTTGTGAGTACTTTAAGGAATTGGCAACCAGGAATCCCTTGAATAATTCTAGTGGAATATTTTCTAATCAATCCGATGGCTCCAACTACAACTGGACTTCTTGATGTCTTGATGGGCCACAATTTTAAGGTTTCAATTTCAAGGTCCTTGTATTTTGATATTTTTTGAAGATCTTCTTAGATACATTACTGTCTGTAGGGACTGTCATGTCAGTAAGTCACGTTTTTTTTTCTTTTTACGATCTCTAATCATGATGTCTGGGCGATTAACTTTGATTGTTCTGTCTCTGTGTATTGTAAAGTCCCATAAAATTATTACAGATCCTATCTCCTTAATCGGGTATGAATGGTGTTCATTCCAATTTCATGCAGTTTCCTTTCCGTAAATGTTGCAGATTTTCCAATGTAGATATTAGCCCACTCTGTTATGCCGGGTTTTATATTCAGTGGGTGCTAATAGAGTGCAACCTGATACAAGATGGTCAATTGTTTCTGGATATTTATCACAGAATCTTCATTTTGGGCTAATATAATATTTCAGTATGTGTGCTTGGTAATTTCATATAAGTAAGCATTGGTTCTGTGCAGCAAGAATAAAACCTTCGGTTTCAGCTTTCAACCATGCGCTAGGGAGCAACTGATGGGTACGGGGTTTGTCTACATCAGCCTGTTACGGGCAGAATATTGACCGTGAAGACTTTTATCATGATATCGTTGCTGTATCTCTGTCGATTGAATTTGGCTTTGTTTTCTTTTTAAGGTTTTTGTAGCTGAGGTAGATGAGTTATGTCTTAATAGCTCTTATTCATTTATTATTATTATTTCTCTTAAATCGTTGAAAAGAAGGATTGCCATAAATTTTCCCGATATGAAAATTCCGACGAACACATTTAGAATTCTGACCGACTTCGTTTAGTCATCAACATTGAAATTTTGATGGCGTTCTGAAATTATCGTACGACACTTATGAACACATTTTGCAAAAATATCTGCGTTTTAAGGAGAATTTTTTCCAACCTGCCTGTCCTTAATTTCAAATGAAAAAAAAAGAAAACATCAGAGACAGTTTTACGAATATAAGCGATCACATTCCAAAGTCAATTGGGGTTTCCATTTTTGTACAGTTATAGAAAAGGGAAACCATGTCCTGTGGGCTTAAGTCAAGTGAATTCTCTCACAAATTCCAAGAGGAACATTACGATTTCTTCAGAAGGTGACAATCATGCCGATTCACATTTGATATAGACCGTTCAATGCATCAAACCTAACTTGATTTAAGTTAGTTGCACAGTTGAAATAATCAAATAAATGATTTAATCGTCATGTCAAGCATAACAATACGACACCAACAGAACATACAGAACAATTTATTACAAACGACTACAATTTCGACAAACCCATTTAGGGGAACATTCGGAAAAAATATTCAGAATCAAGCGACATTTCAGCTCTTGAAACTCATGAATATACTTACATATGTAAATTAATAACATCTGAGTACGAGGCAATGAAAAAAATACAAGAGATTTTCATAAGACTTATACTGTTTGCCTAATTGCTCTTACAAAATAATCAACTGATGCAAAATTTCAAGGTGAGCCAGATCCCATTACATCGGAGTTACATTCCATTGAGTACCAGTACAACTGTTTTTTCAAGACAAGCGGCATTTATACAAAGACTTGTATTATTATTATTATTATTATTATGATTGTTATTGTTGTTGTTTTTGTTGTTCATGTAATTGTTGTCTAAATCGTATGACTATATATGGCTCTACTCCGATATTATTATTATTATTGTTATTGTTGTTGTTGTTATTGTTAACTTGCATCAAAACTATTTTCATTTTATAGAAATTTAGTCTGAATCATATGTCTACTTACGGTTCTACTCGATTATTATTATTATTATTATTGTTGTTTTTTGTTATTATTGTTGTTGTTCTTTATCTTATAATTGTTGTTGTTGTTGTATCAAAACTATTTTCATTTTACAGATATTTAGTCTAAATCGTATGTCTACATATGGCTCTACTCCATTATTATTATTATTGTTGTTGTTGTTATTGTTGTTGTTGTTGCTCTTACAATTGTTGTTGTTGTTATTAGCTTTTATCAAAACTATTTTCATTTTACAGAAATTTAGTCTAAATCGTATGTTTAAATATAGCTCTACTCTATTATTATTATTATTATTATTGCTGTTGTTGTTGTTGTTTTCTTTCTTTTCTGTACCTATTATGAGTTATTCACATGTGTTAAGCACATACTTCAACAGAAAACATTTTTGTTTATCAAACTATTTAAGGAGATCAGATTTTTTTACAGTAATCCTCACTCAGTATAAGGTCCAATAGCCACTTAAGATAGAAGATTAATGTGTGAGGTTGTATGATCGAAAGAAATGAAATTTATGGGATTATGCAGAAAAGATAACGGTTAATCTTAGATTTGAAGAGGCAGAGATTTTAGTAATTGGGGAAAACATACTACAGAGAGTCTGGTCTACAAAGCAGCAGTTCTTGGGAAGAAGCCCTTCGAGTGGAACTTACTTCTTACTAATGGAACACAAAGGGAATGTTGATGATTCACAATTGTGTTAGTGACATAGCTGATCCAAGCCGTAAAAGGTCAAGGCGGTGGAATCAAGGTACATATCAACCATATTAGTAATTCTTAGTAATTAGTGTTGCTGTTTTTGGTTAGAATCGCTGCCTCAATTCGTAATGATTTTTCTTTATTTTCTCTTTTCCCTGTATACGATTCTGGCTTCGCATATCTAACTCTGTCGTTCCACTTCAGCAGGCGCTAACTACCTCTCTATTGAAGCCTGTCTCTCCCTTTCTACTCAGCAGGCGCTAACTACCTCTCTTTATTGAAGCCTGCCTGTCTAACCCCTCTACCTTTCTACTCAGCAAGCGATAACCCCCTCTCTCTTCCTTGAAGCCTGTATCTCCCTTTCTACTCAGCAAGCGATAACCCCTCTCTTTTGAAGCCTGTATCTCCTTTCTACTCAGCAAGCGATAACCCCCTCTCTATTGAAGCCTGTCTGTCTCCCTTTTCTACTCAGCAAGCGATAACCCCTCTTTATTGAAGCCTGTCTCTCCTTTCTACTCAGCAAGCGATAATCCCCTCTTTATTGAAGCCTGTATCTCCTTTCTACTCAGCAAGCGATAACCCCCTTTTCTCCCTTTCTCTTTGAAGCCTGTCTCTCCCTTTCTACTCAGCAAGCGATAACCCCTCTCTTTGAAGCCTGTCTCTCCCTTTCTACTCAGCAAGCGATAACCCCCTCTTTATTGAATTGAAGCCTGTATCTCCCTTTTCTACTCAGCAAGCGATAACCCCATCTCTATTGAAGCCTGTCTCTCCCCTTTCTACTCAGCAAGCGATAACCCCCTCTCTATTCATAAGCCTGTCTCTCCCTTTCTTTCTACTCAGCAAGCGATAACCCCTCTCTATGATAACTATCTTTATAAGCCTGTATCTCCTTTCTACTCAGCAAGCGATAACCCCTGTCTCTCCTTTCTACCCAGAAGCCTGTATTTCCCTTTCTCTCAGCAAGCGATAACCCCCTCTCTATTGAAGCCTGTCTCTCCCTTTCTACTCAGCAAGCGATAACCCCCTTCTGTTCTCCCTTTCTCAGAAGCCTGTCTCTCCCTTTTTCACTCAGCAAGCGATAACCCCTCTCTATTGGAGCCTGTCTCTCCCTTTCTACTCAGCAAGCGATAACCCCCTCTCTATTGAGCCTGTCTCTCCCTTTCTACTCAGCAAGCGATAACCCCTCTATTGAAGCCTGTCTCTCCCTTTCTACTCAGCAAGCGATAACCCCTCTCTATTGAAGCCTGTATCTCCCTTTCTACTCAGCAAGCGATAACCCCTCCCTTCTCTATTGAAACCCCTCTATTGCCTGTCTCTCCCTTTCCTATTGAAGCCTCAAAGCGATAACCCCCCCTCTCTATTGAAGCCTGTCTCTCCTTTCTACTCAGCAAGCGATAACCCCCCTCTTTATTGAAGCCTTTCTACCTCAAGTCTCTCCCTTTCTACTCAGCAAGCGATAATCCCCTCTTTATTGAAGCCCTGTATCTCCCTTTCTACTCAGCAAGCGATAACCCCCTTTATTGAAGCCTGTCTCTCCCTTTCTACTCAGCAAGCGATAACCCCTCTATCTCTTATTGAAGCCTTATCCCCCATTTCTTTATCAGCCTGTCTCTCCTTTCTACTCAGCAAGCGATAACCCCTCTCTATTGAAGCCTGTCTCTCCCTTTCTACTCAGCAAGCGAACCCCCTAACCCCTCTATTAACCCCCTCTCTATTGAAGCCTGTCTCTCCCTTTCTACTCAGCAAGCGATAACCCCCTCTCTATTGAAGCCTGTCTCTCCCTTTCTACTCAGCAAGCGATAACCCCTCTTTCTATTCAGAAGCCTGTCCTCCCTTTCTACTCAGCAAGCGATAACCCCCTCTCTATTGAAGCCTGTATCTCCCTTTCTACTCAGCAGCGATAACCCCCCTCTCTTGAAGCCTGTCTCTCCCTTTCTACTCAGCAAGCGATAACCCCCCTATTATTGAAGCCTGTCTCCTTTCTCACTCAGCAAGCGATAACCCCCTCTCTATTGAAGCCTGTAACTCTCTTATTGAAGCCTTTCCCTTTCTACTCAGCAAGCGATAACCCCCCTCTATTGGAGCCTGTCACCTCTCTCCTTTCTACTCAGCAAGCGATAACCCCTCTCTATTGAAGCCTGTATCTCCCTTTTCTACTCAGCAAGCGATAACCCCCTCTATTGAAGCCTGTCTCTCCCTTTCTACTCAGCAAGCGATAACCCTTTCTCTCTATTGAAGCCTGTCTCTCCCTTTCTACTCAGCAAGCGATAACCCCCTCTCTATTGAAGCCTGTCTCTCCCTTTCTACTCAGCAAGCGATAACCCCTTCTATTGAAGCTTCGTCTCCCCTTTCTACTCAGCAAGCGATAACCCCTCTCTATTGAAGCCTGTCTCTCCCTTTCTACTCAGCAAGCGATAACCCCCCTCTCTATTGAAGCCTGTCTCCCTTTCTACTCAGCAAGCGATAACCCTGTCTCTATTGAAGCCTGTTGAAGCCTGTCCATTTCTACTCAGCAAGCGATAACCCCCCTCTCTATTGAAGCCTGTATCTACTCAGCAAGCGATAACCCCCCTCTCTATTGAAGCCTGTCTCTCCCTTTTCTACTCAGCAAGCCCTCTCTATTGATAACCCCCTCTCTATAGAAGCCTGTCTCTCCCTTTCTACTCAGCAAGCGATAACCCCCTCTATTTCTACTCAGAAGCCCCCCTCTCTTGAAGCCTGTATCTCCCCCTTTCTAACTCAGAAGCCTGTCTCTCCCTTCTATAACCCCCTCTATTGAAGCCTGTCTCCCCCTTTCTACTCAGCAAGCGATAACCCCTCTATTGAAGCCTAACCCCATCTATTGAAGCCTGTATCTTTCTACTCAGCAAGCGATAACCCCCCTCTCTATTGAAGCCTGTATCTCCCCTTTCTACTCAGCAAGCGATAACCCCTCTCTATTGAAGCCTGTATCTCCCTTTCTACTCAGCAAGCGATAACTCCCTCTCTATTGAAGCCTGTATCTCCCTTTCTACTCAGCAAGCGATAACCCCCTCTCTATTGAAGCCTGTATCTCCCTTTCTACTCAGCAAGCGATAACCCCTCTTTATTGAAGCCTGTCTCTCCCTTTCTACTCAGCAAGCGATAACCCCCTTGAAGCTCTCTTGAAGCCTGTCTCTCCTTTCTACTCAGCAAGCGATAACCCTCTCTATTGAAGCCTGTCTCTCCCTTTCTACTCAGCAAGCGATAACCCCTCTCATTGAAGCCTGTATCTCCCTTTCTACTCAGCAAGCGATAACCCCTCTCTCTATTGAAGCCTGTCTCTCCCTTTCTACTCAGCAAGCGATAACCCCCTCTCTATTGAAGCCTGTCTCTCCCTTTCTACTCAGCAAGCGATAACCCCTCTCTATTGAAGCCTGTATCTCCCTTTCTACTCAGCAAGCGATAACCCCCTCTCTATTGAAGCCTGTCTCTCCCTTTCTACTCAGCAAGCGATAACCCCCTCTCTATTGAAGCCTGTCTCTCCCTTTCTACTCAGCAAGCGATAACCCCCTCTCTATTGAAGCCTGTATCTCCCTTTCTACTCAGCCCCCTCTCTATTGAAGCGATAACCCCCCTCTTTATTGAAGCCTGTCTCTCCTCCCTTTCTACTCAGCAAGCGATAACCCCCCTCTCTATTGAAGCCTGTATCTCCCTTTCTAATCAGCAAGCGATAACCCCCTCTCTATTGAAGCCTGTCTCCCCTTTCTACTCAGCAAGCGATAACCCCTCTCTATTGAAGCCTGTATCTCCCTTTCTACTCAGCAAGCATAACGATAACCCCTTTCTCTCTATTTTATTGAAGCCTGTCTCCCTTTCTACTCAGCAAGCGATAACCCCTCTCTATTGAAGCCTGTCTCTCCCTTTCTACTCAGCAAGCGATAACCCCTCTCTGTCTATTTCTACTCAGAGCCTGTCTCTATTGAAGCCTGTCTTTTCTACTCAGCAAGCGATAACCCCCTCTACTGGAGCCTGTCTCTCCCCTTTCTACTCAGCAAGCGATAACCCCCCTCTCTATTGGAGCCTGTCTCTCCTTTCTACTCAGCAAGCGATAACCCCCCTTTCTACTCATTGAAGCCTGTCTCCTTTCCTCAGCAAGCGATTCTACTCAGCAAGCGATAACCCCTCTCTATTGAAGCCTGTCTCTCCCCTCTTTCTGTATCTCAGCAAGCGATAACCCCTCTCTATTGAAGCCTGTCTCTCCTGTTCTCTTTCACTGCTTTTAGCAATTACTACTGGGATTTCTCGTTTCAGGTCGCCTAGGCCATTACCATATTTACTGGAGCGTAATTCGACGTTGGGAGTCCCATAGTTTATGACTCTTGATTCGGGAGGATTTCCTTTGGTGGGTTGGGGTAATCCTATCCCCACCTATCTCTCTGCATACATGCACTGTCTGCACTCATACTCCAAGGACCATGCCTTTCTATTGAGGTCGGCTTCTTCCTCCCTCCTCCTCTGGTCGCTTTTTCACACTTACTTGGTCTTTGTTCCACACCGGGGATTTCTTTCCTTTATTCTGCCTGCTACCTAACCCTTCCCGACCTAGAACACGTGTTCCATGAGTTCTCGTCTATTTCATACATTTTCACTGTCTTTTACCAGGTCTACGACCACTGACAATCAGATTGGGGCCTCCTTAATCACATCGCATCCATTCTCCAGTGCATCAATGAATAAATCCTCCAAATGGGCCTGAATGGCGGCACATTTTACTGAACGGAAGGCCAAGGTCGACAATTTCGTCGCTCTGGCTCCTAATCTCCCTAGATTCTCATACCCCGCCTGGGCGTGCTCTATGAGGCACCTCATGGCCTCTATTGCCATGAAATCGTCTGAATATTCTTTTATCAGTAGATTCTCTCGGTCAAACCACGTTAATCTAGAATCCCTTGCTAGGTGTCCCCACCTACGAACTCGGAGACCGGACCCCCCCAGCCGCATCATACGCCAGCATCACTGTCTCTATCCACACAGCTGTGTGATGAGATGTTTCTTTCTTATTGCCGTCAACCAGTTCTTTAACTCTCCCGGGTCCTCTCTATACGCCGCTACCCTTTGTCCCCCAACACACCCAGCAGTTTTTTGAAATTACTTGACGCTTGAAAAAAAGTTCGTGGAGTTTTTACAACATTATATTCAAAATGACTAAAGTTCTTTGGTTCTACTCCATCAAAGAATTGACCTACTTTTTTATTATTATCCTTCTCGGATTGGTCGCACTCTTCTGTGTCCTTGGTAGATATTCTAAGTCTCTGCTGGCTTCCACTGAGTCGATCCTTTTGTCAAGGACACCAATTATAACATGCATGCCCCGGTAGATCTTGGGTCAAACCTGGATTGCAGCAGCCAGATAGTATGGCCACTGTCACACGCCGCCTCTACCAGAAGATATAACCACACCCGCAGTTCAGTTCCCAGTGTCGTAGGAAGACGAATCAATCACAGGGTCAACTCGATGCTGTCAAGTACCGTCGTCGGTCAACTGGCTGTTAGTCGCTGGTCGTTTTGATGCACATCAATCTGCCCTCGCTGTGTTCTTTGATCACAGAGCAGTGAAGATCAAATGTCGTCAGTAATTCGTAGCGTGGGTTTGAGCCACGGCAAAGGTGCATTATGAAAGAAATCTTCTCGCAGACGAAATAAAAACGGAAGATTTGTCAGGCTAGTTTTAAATAGGTTTATATAGCTCTTGGTACAAAAATCAACGCTTTCCTCTTAAATGTCTATAATGGCACTTTACTATTCTAAATCTTTGAGCGGGGTTCAAAGTCGGGAATTCTCCCGGCAACAGGTCACTCGGTGGTTTTGGTAGCAGCTCGTTCGCTCTTTGTCGCTCGTTTCGCCTCTCTCTAACTCTGCCTGGGTCGCCAACGCGATCTGCTTATATCGAGTCCGGCTCAAGATTGGTGTGGTTTCCACTGGTCTGGGCTGTCTGTATTTCGCTAAATTTCGCATTTAGTTGCAGGTGTCCCCCCGCCTTTATAACTTATACTTTCTTCTATTTATATCTTACACCATTACTTCCAAATGGGCAGAGGTTAATTTTCTCCTTTTCTCTTTATATATCAGTATTCTAATTGAGACCATCCTCACGGGGAAGTTTTGACTGTTTTTTTGACAATTTTGATTTTTAAACCGAGTGGGTGATGGGGCAGTCTTATTTTAATCATTGATTTTCCGTAACAAATATTATGTAATAGACTTTCGTTTCGTTTGTTCTCGTGCACTGTAACCAGCTACATTGCTCCCACAGCCCTATGGTTATCATGCAGACAATCCTTGTAAGTTGTTTCTCATTTCAATTTTCGTCTCTCGAGTTGATTATATTTCCACAATTTTATTTCAAATGACCGTTTGACCTCTCAATATATTCCATTTTTTTGACGGCCATAAATTCTGTTTTTAATTGTCAAGGTTAGCGAATAACTCGGAATATACCTTAGCAATTTCCTCCTGCACGCTGGTTCTCTATATTCCCTCTTCCTTCCCTCTCATATTTCTAACACATTTTTACATTAACCCTTTCAATTCCTCTAATGTCACCTAGTGTCAAAGAGTAGCATACCCAAAAACATTTGCAGGACAGTATATGTTGTGCTTCTAGTCTACATAGATTTTGTTTTGTATTAGTAAAAGTTCTTTCGTTCAAATCCTTTCTTACCTGTTCCGATCGATTTAGATCGAATGTCCAGCCGCGTTGAATAGGTGAGTTTTGAATTAGCTATAGATAAATAGCAAAATAAAAAGGGGGAAAAAATCGATCGCCCTTTACTATCCGCACATCACTCAAGTTGTCCAACTGAGTGCTCTGAAGTAAAATGTCTTTTAGTGTCCGAGTTTCAAAATATAGGAAAGGAAGGTTTTGTAGACTGACCAACTTGAACCCAATCTTGATCTTCTATTTGAATTGAGTCTTGATCCTTAACTTCAACATAAAATTGATGCTTCTATCAGTTGGCAGCTTATCGATGAGAAGATATTTCATCTGTTAAATCTTTTCTTATTTTAAAATCTAGAACTATATTTGCTCTCATCTGATGTGTTTCACTCGACGTTTTTGTTGGCTTTCTCTTATTTGCATATTTTAGTATTTTTATATCATTATGCCAAACTTAACAGGAAAAGGAAAATCATATTTTTAAAAAATGCTGTATCGCGCCATTTTCTGCCATCACAAAAGAAACACATATTTCAGCTCTATCGATCTAAATATCTATTTACATTCCTGTCACACGACCCGACACAAATATATTAGGAGGCGCAGTAAAGTTTTCGCTCCGACCGATTTCTTAAAACCTGACCAGGACTTGTTTTAGAATTTATTCCTGGTCGAGTCGTGTACTTTTTTAGTAACTGTCTGTATCTATTACTGTGCATCCAATTTTGTATATGTGCGTAGCGTTGTGGATAATGGCGCGGAAACGGAATTATTTCAATTCAATCCAAGATAATCTTGAAAATTTACGAAACCATCACTTCTCCTAATCCTAATTCTGTCTAATACATAGTATTTGGGTAAACTAGGCTCTGTAGCCTTGGTTGGCAAACAGTCTAGGTGATGAACAACGCCAAAGAAAAAACAAATACATCTGCACACATCCACACTGGGTCTTATATATATATATATATATATATATATATATATATATATATATATATGTGTGTGTGTGTGTGTGTGTGTGTGTGCGTGTGTGAAAAGTGTGTGTATAAACATAAATAAATATATATATATGTATAATTATTTATATATTATATGCGCGGTACTTATTAGAAAGCGCTCAATATCAGAGATAGAGCTAACATATTAAAAAAAAGCAATAATATCACACAAACCGCAAAAGAACTTACTAAACAAAAAATCAGAGATAATCTCCAAATGTAGGCATGAGAACAAGTACCTATTATCCGAATTCATACCAAACAGATAAAATAGACAAAACACCAACAATCACAATTTAATTTCAAGATACCATCACTCTATCGTTATTATCATTGCACTTCCATTAGTAATCACTTTTACCACTTTACAATAACTATCAACTTATAATATTATCATTACCACCAATACCCAGCACTATCACTTCTACATCACACCTACTATTAACATATAAATCCACTACAATCATTAACGTATATTACTCCCCCAGCATATTTAATACCTTAAAACAATAAGATCAGATATAATTTCCATATGTAACCATGAGAATAAAAACCCATTACCAGGATTCATAAAAAATAAAAATAAACAAATAAATATAGAAAATAAAATAAAATAAAACTCCAACAACCACTCTTTGGTTCAAGCTAGCACCACAATAATTACATTTATAGGTTTTTATTATTCTCCCACCAACATTACTCATCACTACTAACAATTTACAATAAATATTAACCACTTATATTATTATTGCCACCTTACACATTACTATCACACCGCATCTACCATTACCATATAATCCTGCCATAATTGTTAACGTAAACTACCCCCTCTCCCAGCATATTTAATACGACCATAAAAATAACCAATAAGGATTGCAAACTGAAATTTCTACCAGTCACATATACACAGTCATAAAAAAACAGCAAAAAAAAAAACAAGGAAATAACCAGCTTTAATATAATAACTATAATATTTTTGTAAATTAAAAATTATAGCAATCTTCAACTACCATAATTTTACACAGAATACCTATTATTAGGATTTATACCAAAATAAATTAATACATATAACAAAAAATAAATAAAACACCAACAACCACTTTTTTTAGTTCAAGCTACCACCACTATAACTACATTTATGGTTTTATTATTCTCCCACCACCGTTACTAATCATTTCTACCAATTTACAATAACTATTAGCTAATTATATTATCATTGTCTCCAATCCCTTGCAACATTATTATCACATCATATCATATAGACCCGTTATAATTATTAAATTAAACTACCCTCTCACCCAGCATATTAAATATTAAACATCACCATATAAAATAACCAATAAGGATTACAAATTTCTAACTGTTACATATACACAGTCATCAAAAACAAACAAATAACCAGCTTTAAATATA